TCCAGAATTCCACTTATAAATACATCTGAAAACCAGAACCTACCTTAGCAGTTTCTAAAGCATCTAAACCAGCAGCACTGGCCATCGGTTTCTCCGGCGCTAACACTCCTAGCACTGTGGATTTAATTTAGCCACCTCACTGCCCAGGGCTCATGTGATCTGAAATGCGACGTCCTGTGCTGGATCAGACCCAAAGCTCAGTCTCACCTCCAACAGCAATCGTCACTTCTTGAGGCTTCCAACAGAGACAGAATCTCCCCGGAGTCGCGGTAAGACAGCAGAACCCAGCTCTGAGCAGGGCTATGCTGACTCCCATTGTTAGCCTGATAGTGGCTCCTCATTAACCAAGTCTAAGGAGCTGCTTTAGCATGTAGTTTAGGATTCACGTGCCAGAAGGAGCACCTGTAAAGTATTTTATGGCATGTCTGTCCTGAACTTCACAGCCCATTCTTCCACAGTTTCAAAACCAACCAACCAAAACCAAACCCCTCCACAAAACCAACTTACTCATTTGCAAACTGACCTTCTTCAGCATCACCGGGCGATCGCTCCTCCCGCGTTCTCTGTACAATTCAGTGACCCTGACAACTGCAGCGTTACAATTCACACAGCCACTGCTGGTAGGCTGATTAATTTCTTTATTCTATTTTAAATCTTAAAATCATCACTACCGAGCTGCTTCTCCTTCCAAAGACGATGTCCTTTTGGGGGTAACCAGACCAGAACTTAACGACATCCCACTGATTAGTCCGTATTGTACCATTTTCTATCAGCCAACGTGATGATGTTTTTGGTGGCAGTGCATGTTTGAGCACATCTGTTGAGACACTCGGGTCTCACAAGGGGTAGTTACGTTCCAGTTTAACTGCACATCATTGTTGGGATCCAGCTTGTCTGAAATATTCTGGATTTCCTGTACTGTGTCACATCTGCCGTCGCTCTGGCTACTCTTTAACCTCATTTGGACTGTTGATTCAGCCTGTCTCTTCCACACACACACACACACACACACACACACACACACACTCCCTTTTGCCAGCTAAAATTTAATCTTAAAAATCTTTAAAATTATTCTTTTGCAGTGAAAAAAACCCCTGCTCTTTTATCATGCTGAAAACTACTAGTTTCTTTCTCAGGTGGACAATACTGACCCAATGAAGGAGGAGAAGTTATTTCCAAGAAAAAAGGTAGACACCAGTTTCTTTTAAAACTATGAGTAACTCCTGCACATAGATTTTCAATGAAGCAACTGTTCTAAGTCTCATTCTCAATTGTTTCAAATTATTTTGCCCTTAAAAAAAACCCAAACTACCCTTGCTTTTGATAGCAACAATTCAAAATAAAGCTGCATGCATGTAAACAGAACACTTGACAGAGAGGCAAAATAGGTATGGCCAGAGGTAGGAAAAGTGTATTTATTGAGACAAATCCTTAAGAGGATCAAGTTAGGAACACCAGTTTAAATTATAAATAAACTGGACAACAGTAGGACGCCTATTTTACCAGTCTGCATAGGAAGCAGGAGGAGTTCCCAACACGCTACACCTTGGCAATATGATTTTTCAGCAACAACTTCGTATCTGTCATTACGCTTTTAAGTACCTTCAAATTTCCTTACTATAGACAACAATCCAGATCTATCAGACTAGAGGGAAGTGATATAATCTGCTGCTTCAAACATAAATATTAAAACCAGTTTCCTGTTTGGCAGTGATGACACCATGGAAAAAAACTTGTATTAGAGTAAATGGTATTTAGAGAGATCCAGGCAGCTCGGACTGTGTGCCTTTCAGACAACCACTATTCATTCGTTAAGATTTGTTTATTTGCCCCAAGAACACACATTTTTATTTCTTTATTTTCCTATTTCTATTTCTGGCACAGCAGGAGTATGAACTTAAACAGACAAATACGCTCTGAGAAGAACCTCAAGACTAAGCAAACAGTAAATTTAATGTAACAATATTGTGATTCCCTTCCGTGGGTATCTGCTGGTAAATGCCATCTCCACTGTGTACGGGGAAGAAGCTCTCGCACGCAGCCTGTGTTTCATTTGAGTTGCTTTATTGATGTCAGACTTCTGAAAGTTCAGCAACGCAGACTGTGTGTCTCAGGGAAAACCCTTCCTGATCACACAGCAAAGGCTGATTCAAAGAGCGTGTTTTCTAGCAAATCAATTCTCACAGGAGCCAAACGCTGTCAGATAAGCACAACAAATACAGCTCTGCACGCCTCACTTGTGACTGATTCCTCTTCCCTCTGTGATGACAGCCAAGCCGGGACTCAACCTAGATCAAGTCCTGCAATGTCAAACGAAGCAGAAGGGCTCACCTACCCATTCAGACCTACCTACCTGTTCATAACTTAATTAGGCAGGTAGGCAGGCAGGTTTTTTGGGGTTGGTTTGTTTGTTTTTTAAAGGGCCATTTCAAAATTGATGTTTTGAAAACTGCAAAAACACTTAACTGTGAAGACCATTTAACTTGTTCTCTGTTGAAGAAGTGTCATAAAGAAATTTTCCCCCCTTGAAATAGTATAAAAACCCACATGAAACAGACCAAATCACTTGTCTGAAGTGACAGTGAATGTGCAAAGCAGCTCACAGAAGTCCAAGAGAAAGTCAACTAAAAACTACACTTCCTAGCTAAAGAAGTCTTAACAGCATCCCTTTCAGGTAAAGCCTTTAAAAAAAAAAAAAAAAATATATATATATATATTAGCGAAGAAAATGGACAGCACACAACAGCCTCTCCTGTTAAAGGATCAGATTCAGGCACTGGAGAAAGGTTTGAGGCTCTTTTCCTTTCCAAGCTACTGCTGAATTCTTTTCCCCCCACACTCTAGTTCCAAAACCACATTTACACCAGCATATGGGTAAGTTATACACACATGTTTTCAAACAGTGACCTACAATGACAGAGCTCTTTACAGTAAGATCAAAATACAATCCCCATAGATTACATTCTTCGAACAGAGCCATGATGTGCAGCGTGAACCCCGAGAAAGAAACATTTAACTTGTAAGTGAAAGCTCACTGTTAATACTGGAGTTCCAGTCTGACAGCTAAACTTGGCTCTGCCTCCAACTCCAGTTCAAACACAACACAGTCTTCATGATCTCAGTATTTTCTGAAAATAGCCTGAAGGTGTTCAAGGTTGTCCATTCCCCCTCACACCTATTTTTTTTTTTAATGTTTTTCCTACTGCAAAAAACTACCTTCAGAGGGCTATTGGGTTAAACAAGTGAGTTCAGACAGAAACTTCCCAGTGATAGATGTTTGCAAAACAAAGACTAAAATGCACGTATTTAATTCCAGGACTGATAAAGTCAGTTCTTTTCAATGCTCAGAGTAACCCTTCAGCACACCCGTTTATTCCAGTACGTCAGGTCATGAATCTACACACAACGTAGCACCAGAAGCAGAAAAGCAGGCAAATTAAGGAATGCTCCCTCTAACGTAACACCCTACTCAACAGGGAAAGGCCAGGGAGATTTATAGCTATGGAATATCTTCACTCTGCTGTAAACATCTGCAAAAACATGGAGGAACCCAGAGACCTTTAGAGAATACAATGGTTAAAGTGGATGAATGTGCCATGTGCCTCCCACTGAGAGTGGGCAGTGCTAACCACCCGGTGCTGGGTGGAGGTTTCACCAGGTTTGATACCACCTGCTCTTCAAACTTGTCTGTAAAACTTACAGACTCAAAAGGCTTCCCACACCCCGTTTGTCCCCTGTGAAATGATGTCATATTAGCACGCAGCTTACACTTTAACAGTTTAGAGAGTAACCAAGTCTGGCAGAAGCTGTAATCTAATGCTGTTAAGTGTAAGAGGCCAAACAACAGTGCTGTGAACACTTTGGGAAAGGCTGTAACAGCACAATCTCGCAAAGCCACGCTTCATGGCAAAGCAGCAGAGAACACAAACTCACCCACCTCTCTCCACCCTCCTTTCAGGGAGTTGAAGAGAGCAAGAAGGTCTCCCCTCAGCCTCCTCTTCTCCAGGCTCAACAACCCCAGTAAGTCATTATGCAATCTCTAAAGTGCTACTGACACTCTGGCTGAGCTGAAGAGGTGAAGCAGCAGAGAACACAAACGCTGGGGAAGAACCTTGTCTGCAGCAAACAGCACAGACATTAACTGCTCTGACCCTTTCTCTGAAGCATCAAGGATAACCTCAGTCCCATTCCCAGAAATGCTTTAAAACACCATCCTCTTTGCTTCTGTCAAACAAACTTGATGCTGCCAACCTGGATATAAGCAGCTCGGAAGCGATCCTGACATGAACTACTGGGCTGGTGCAACACATTTGTCCAACACAAGAAAATATTAAAATATTTTTAAAGAAAGTGACCCAGCTGTAATTTGTTGCTAGCACCCATTATTTTGAATATACACACCTGTGCTCCCGGTACAGGGCCAAAAGGGTTTGGTGGTCTCATGACTGGCTGACTGTATATTAGAGTTGGCTGTGTCATTACTGGTATGCCTCCCATCTGTGATGGCTAAAAAAATCCAGACAACATTAAATCACACATAGCATTAATATATTGCAAGTATTTAAGGAGAGAAAGGAAAATGGTGAATGGGTGACAAGTCTCAGTCATATTTGATAAATGCAATCATGTAAGATCTTTCTACCGTGTTCTGCAAGTAAAGGTTACTAGACAGGAACATCAGAGCCTTTTCCAGGAGTACTCTCGATAACAACCGAGCCCATTTAATCTCTGTCTGCAAAGACCTGAAACGCTGCGATACTCGTTTAAGCACAAGCATTTGTGCTGGTCCTCTCGCTCCCACAACTGAGGTCTGACAGCACTTCCCTCGCTGCCTTCGGAAGCACAAGAACCGTTTTGCAGGTATCAACGCAGAGCTGACAGCTCCAGAAAAACTGGAAACTGAGAACTAGCTGTACAGTTAATGCTGAGTCACAGAATTGCCTCCACTGGAAAAGACCTTTAAGATCATCGAGTCCAATCATGAACCCAACACTGACAAGTCCCCGACTAACCCATGTCCCTCAGCACTGTGTCTACACGACTCTTCAATCCCTCCAGGGATGGGGACTCCACCACTGCCCTGGGCAACCCCTTCCAATGCCTGAGAGCCCTTTCAGCAAAGAAATTCTTCCTCACATCCAATCTCAACTGCCCTTGGCGCAACTTGAGGCCATTTCCTCTTGTCCTGTCACTTGTTCCTTGGTTGAACAGACCCAACCCCACCTCTCTGCACCCTCCTTTCAGGGAGTTGTAGAGAGCGAGAAGGTCTCCCCTCAGCCTCCTTTTCTCCAGGCTCAACAACCCCAGTAAGTCATTATGCAATCGAAGTCTGAAGTGTTACTGACACTCTGGCTGAGCCAAATTAAGAGTTTAATTTATAATAATAGTCTTAGAAGTCAGGTTTTATTTAATGTTAGATGCCCATCTCTGGTGCTGCTTTTGGCATTGCCCTCAGGATTGGGTTGATAGCCACCAGCAATCCTACTGAAGCAATCCCCGTTCCAAATGGCTTTTCCTTCCCTAACCCTGGTACTGCTCCCATCATGCCAATCAGGTCCTTGGGCACTCACATGGGGAACCCATTCAAAAAACTGATCCTGATGAAAACACTCTACAAAAAAGTTAAAAATAATGGCTGGCACAGTGAAGACAGAGGAACCAGCAGCCAGGGCATGATGGGAAATTGCCTGTCCCAGTATGTCCTCGCCAAGGGACAAGCCTGCTACTAGACTGCCACTTAGAAACAGACATGTTCAGAATCACGGTACCTACTACAGCTTTTAGTAAAAAATAAACACCAGGGTTGTAAAATGGGCCAACATTTCAGAGATTCCTGGCAGTAAGTGTCCTGAGTAAAGTCTGAATGAGCCAGGACAGTTTTCAGGATGTGTTATAAAGTCTACTGGTCACTCTGCGATGGCCCATCTCGCCCATCTGCTCACAGCAACTCAGGATGACAGAGCTATGGCTCCTATTAATGCCAGTTTCTATTCCACTCACCCAGATGAGAGGTGCAGTTGATAGGACAGATGGAAGGAATGCCATCCTGGGAGACCTGGACAGGCTTGAAAAATGGGCCCACAAGAATATAATGAGGTTCAACAAGGCCAAGTGCAAGGCTGGGCACTTGGGTCAGGGCAATCCCAGGTCTGTGTACAGACTAGGAGGAGAACTCATGGAGAGAAGCCCTGCTAAGAAGGACTTGGGGGTCCTGATGGAGGAGAAGCTGATGTGAGCCTGCAGTCTGCGACTGCAGCCCAGACAACCAACTGTATCCTGGGCTATATCAAAAGAGGGGTGGCCAGCAGGGTGAGGGAGGGGATTGTCCCCCTCTATTCTGCCCTTGTGAGGCCCCATCCGGACTATTGTGTCCAGGCCTGGAGATGCCAACATAAGAAAGATGTGCAGCTCTTGGGAGTGGGTCCAGAGAGCCAGGAAGATGATCAGAGGGCTGGAGCACCTCTCTGCTGAAGAAAGGTTGAGGGAGCTGGGCTTGTTTAGCTCGGAGAAGAGAAGGATCTGGGGAGACCTCATTGTAGTCTTCCAAGTACTTGAAGGGAGCTCAGAAACAGGAGGGAGAGTGACTTTTGACATAGGCAGACAGTGATAAGACAAGGGGAAATGGTTTTAAACTAAGAGAGGGGAGATTTAGGTTGGATATTAGTAGGGAATTTTTCACCCAGAGGGTGGTGAGACACTGGAACAGGTTGCCCAGAGAAGTTGTGGCTGCCCCATCCCTGGAGGCATTCAAGGCCAGGTTGGATGGGGCCCTGGGCAGCCTGATGTAGAGGCTGGCAACCCTGTCCACAGCAGGGGGGTTGGAACTGGATGATCTTTAAGGTCCTTTCCAATCCAAGCCATTCTATGAATCACAGTGGCATTTAAACCCCATGATGAAAACTGCTTTACAGTTTTCATGGAGGATCACTTTCTATACACTAAATACGTTACCTTCCCCAGCTGCTGAATCAAAATAACTGAGAAAATGCTTCCAGTGCTGTCAGTGCAAAGTTGTGTAGATCAAGTTTAAATCAATGCTGAAGGTAGTTTAATCATGACTTTGCATGGAACATACTACAGGAGTTCATGGATGGGTAATGGGGAACATGATATGCTCCAAAAGACCCTCAGGAACACAGTTGGCCACTTCTGCAGTTTACTTACTGAGCATATACAAATTACAAATCATTAATAGAATTTATTTATATGAGGAAACATTAGCTTATTTTTATTATACTAATCTGTGAGACTTTTAACAGAATAATTGTTCTAAGGAAGTTCTCTTCCCTTTTATTCACCCAGCAAAGCTATGCTACATCAAAACCATACTAAAGAAGAGTTAAGGCATATCATTTCAGAAACATTTTAAAATATGACAGAACAACAAAAATTTCAACAACTTTTAAGGGCAACAAGCAGCAAGGCCAGGTTGATGTCAAAAGCCTTCTGGTACTGGTGTGTCACCAAGAGATTCAATTCTCCACTGACACCATAACACACAGCAGTGTCACAAAGTTTTGCAGCATCAATCATTACAGACAGCTTTTCCTGAGGCTGGAGCAAGTATTCAAGGCAGGTTTTACTTCACTGATAAAACATTCCTGTTGTGAATGTAGCTATCCTCACATGATATACTTATTTCTCTGATACATTTATTTTTACACCCATAAAGCCCACTAAAATTAAGACAGTGTCTGTTCTTAAGAAGTTTATGAAAAAATAATAGAGGTAAGAAAGGGCAGGTTCAATTTCAGTCAAAAACCCCCACACTGAAGTAGTTCAGAAAACCAGGACTTAATGATTTGGTGAAGAACAAACCGATAGGAGCTGAAATTCAGTCTTCAGTAAAACAGTTCAGAAAAACAACTGCTACCAAGCTATAAACAATCGACTAATACACAACATCTGGCTACTTTGATTTGCAGGAGTTGCACTCACCATCCCATAGCCCATCATTCCCGTCGGCGTTGTGGCAGGATATGCCATTACAGGTGGTGCCTGGTGTGAGAAACAGTGGTGAACTGAGAGGAGAAGAGATCAGCTGCATCCTGGTAAGACATTGCTTTCTAAGGGTCAACTGCAGCACTTCGCTTAGTATGAATATGGCAAAGAATAAATAGGATTTGCAATTTTGTGTTAAGAGTGTATCCAAATTATTTAAGACACAATACAATACCTAAGGTAAAGCTTCTAGGAGATCTTGGCAAATCTATACTTATGTATTTGCTTTTAACCTGTTAGAATTCTGGCTGACTAAACTAAACCGCAAGCTCTCCTTCTCTCAGTATCCTGTTTAAGGAACACGGTATGAGACACGGAGAAGTTTGAGAGAGAAAATTCAGGAAGCAGAAACATTTTTTGAATCCCGTAAGTATATGCTTACATTTCAAAATCAGAAGCAATGGTACACAGGGAGTCTGAAGAGAGAATTTTAAAGACTGAAATTATCATTGCTTCTGCCAACATTACAGGAATTTCTTCTACATTCCCAGGATGTACAAGGCTATGGGGATTCTCCTACTGTGCTTCAATAGAAATCCAAATCTAACATCAATATCCAACTTGGGATTCCCTCTCACTCACTCACTTACAGTGAATTTGAACAGGTTAAAAGTCCTCTTAGCACTTTGCAGATATGTTTGCATCACCCTTAACCTAAATTAACTTTGGTGAAGTTACTGTAAGATTGCTGTCAACAGACAAATTTGGGGTGAAGCTCCATTTTGTAAACAGCTTGGCAACATATACGTAAAAAACAGCTGATAGCTCTTAGAAAGAAATATGTATCAAAGACAGCTCTTTGTACCCTAACCATATTCTTTGTTCTGCAGTTTTATTATCCACTTTCTAAAATGATATTAACTCTTAAAAGGACCAAAAATGTGGGGTTTTTTCAGACTACAAATTGGTGCTTATAAATATTCAGACAACTTGCCATCTATCCACTCTATCTCCTGTTGTCGTCTCTCCTTGAAGAAAAAAAACAGTCTAATTCTCATGCTATTGCTCTGGGGATTACTATTACTATTACTATTTGTGACAAGACAAAGACCATATGTATTTCTTGGTGCACAGATATTACTGATAGGGAAAAGAGGGAAGTGACAAAATATTAATAATATTGAATTAATTAAAGCAGCTTAATTGTAACATCACATATAGGACATCAGCAAAGCTGCTTCTGAATTCAGTTCTGAGGTATCAGCTGCCTTTTCACAGACAGTAGCCAGTGCCACTGGCATTCCAATTGCCACCAGAACAGATTGCCCCAATCAAGAATTACCTAGACTGGGTACTACCCATATATTTCACACAGCTGGCAAAGTTATCCTGAAAATTACTTTTTTGTTTTGTTTTGCTTGTGTATTCACACCTACATACACACAAACATGCTGACTAAATTTATTTTTGAGTGCTCAAGTATGGACCTACCATCTTTTAGTTACAGTTACCCCTGTAATAAAAACAGAATACAGGGAAAGACCAATATCACTGTTGACATAAAGAAAAAAAATCCTTCAAAATGAAAGACTGCATTCCCCAGACAGCAAGCATAGGTTGTTGCTCGCCCTCTGTAAACTGTCAGCATGGATTTTCTTTATTTTTTTTATTTTAATATGAGCATTAATGACATATTGGTCTCTCCCCACAAAAAAATAAAATAATAAAAAAAATCAAGATCTACCATAAATGTGGATAAAGTGCCAGGTATAACAGAAGCCTGTGAGGTTTCATGCAGTTATTCAAACACAAACATTTTGATCTTCATTCAAAATTCACCAAGTGCATTGAAGGCAGCACAGACACACACCCCAGCTCTCTGGCAGCAAATGGTACAGTCTGAAGCAAGGAAAAATAATCTCGGTATTTCCCATGCCATCATTCGAGTCAAGAGCCTGCAGACCACCTATGAAGTTCGTGTATGCTAGGAAAAGCTCAAATTTTGGCACACCAAAGATTTTAAAATGAGAAATGTGTAAATAGCAAGAAGGTTATGAGATTCTGCAACAGCAGTGGTTAATATCAGCATGCCAGTCGATTGCAAAAAGGCTGTGGGTTGTTTCACTTACGTATTGTGGAAAATGCATGCCATTCTGTATTTCCCAGGGAGAACAATTACATAATGCAATAACACTGGATTAGAAGCAAATACTTACACAACGGAATATACACAGATAGCATTTTAGTTCACAAATACATTAAAATGTTTACCCCAACACATTCTTGTAATTCAAGTCATTTACTGAGACAACGTACACCTGTGATACTGTCATCGTTACTGGGATTGTAATTGTTTTGCACAGTCCATTTATTTGGTATATGCCTTTTTTCCAAAGAGGAGAAAGCCTTATTGTCAAAAGCATATTTATTTAGCAAGCAGCAGCAACTCCACAATAAATAGACCAGCAGAGAAAGACAAACTTTCCCCCTCCCCAAAATTATTTATCTTTCAAGATTTTTCTGTTAATAGAACAGTTTCACAGGTAAAGAAATGTCTCAACAAGATCTCTAAATAATAAAAGCTGTTAAATGTAATGACTTATCACAAGAAGATGTATGTACAAGACATGAGTTATTAAACAGATTCAAGCACACAAGTAAACTCAAACCACCAGTCATTAAAGCAGGTGAGCAGTTACAGTTTCTTCAATATCTACACACCCTCTGGTCAGGTCCACAAACATTTCTCCCTACATGAGTGTAGTGAGTTGATAAGGGACACGCAGTAGGGAAGAGGTGGTGGATCCAGGGAGACAAGCTTTCTCTTTCCATAGCCACAGTCTTGTATTATAACACATGGATCCAACCTCCCCAGGCAGTTACAGAGTCAGATGTAATAAATGCTCAGGGGCAGTTTGTTATCTGCTCTGTCCATTGACAGTTCTCTAGGTCATTGGTGAAAAAGTGAGTAGGATTCACATGCAAAAACGTGCTGTTAGCACTGTGAACACTACTCATGTAGACTCTTAACATCTTTTTCTTCTTTTTTTTTTTTTTTTTTTTGGCTTGTAATTAAGAACCCTCACTCTACACGCTGCCCAAAAATCCTTGCCAATACTACCTGCTACAACAGACACTGTGAAGTTGATCAGTAAAACTGACATGCATTAAAAACAAATGCACACATCGGGGCAGGAAAGCAGTAGTTAGGTACATTGAGAAAGCTATAGCCCACGTCACTGCACAGACACCTCTACAACTATCAAGAGGATTAATAATCTCTTGGCCCGCTCTCCAGAGCAGGCTGAGTTGTAATGTTATACATACTTGATGTATCAGTGCACCTCAAGAACATACTTTTCACGTTTCTAATTTTCTAGACTGCAAAGTGGTTCCCCCCACACCACTGGAATTTAGTTTTTTGATAGTTGAGTGAAACAGGAAGGCTGTGACGTTTGTGCTAAAACTGTACCTGCCACATCACAAGCTATTTACTGGAACCACACAGCTAAGAACAACAAATCCAGGCAGTACACAGCTCAAACTAACCACTTCTTCAATTTCCTACTACCCTTTTACTGCAGCTATAGATCACTTCCAAATTTCTCTGTTATACATCAGTCTGCATATCTAAGTCACAGGGAACTCACTAGTATTTGCTTACCAACGTTGGAGCATTCCACGCAGTTGTAGGTGCAATCTTGGGTTGCCAGTTGGAACCACCTGTTAGTTTCTTTTCACCTGGCTGAGTCCAGTTTACATCACTTCAAATAAATTGTTTAAAAAATTGTTAGAAAACATCAGATTTTCTTACAAAACTCCCTCAGGCAAACACCATTTTTTAACTTGGAAATGTGGCTTCTTTAGTTAGTGAAGAAGCTGATTTAGCAAAGGAGTTGATAAAAGGTCTCATGACACCTTGTTTTGGCTAGAAAAAGTAAGGGAAGTTGTTCAACATGAGCCACCTCAGCTTTACCTAATCTCAGTCAAGTCCCCCAGTACAGGTAAGTTAGTCTGGCTGACATTCCTTAGGTCAGGATAGTTTAGTTAGGAGCAACTGCACACTAGATTTCTGAATTATTTCAGAGCTCTCACAGATGATCCCAATAAGTTTGACATTTGCTCACCACATCCTCAACTTCACTGCTACAGCAGACGTGCACTATTCTCGAATATTCCCTGCTTCAAAACTCACTTCTCTAAAGGTCAGCCACAAGTTGGAGGTTGTAGTTTCACGACCTGTAATACAGTTCTGCACACGCTCAGATCACACAAAATCTTTACAAGGTGTGCTAAGACTATCTACAACTACAAAGAAACATCTTGATGAACTCATTTCCTAAATATATCCAAAGCCTGAAAGGAGAGACAGAAGGACATCTTGCCTGCTGTTATCACTGTCACTCAGCCTAGTCACCTTCCAACAGCTCTCAACAATTCATTATACCTTTTATGAGAAACAAAGTACAACCCCAAACGTGCTCTGAAGGTTAACACTGTATGTTGTTACACACAGGCTTGAACCTGTACTTTCATAAAAATTTACTATCAAGAAAATAAAAATGCTCAACTTTTGATTAAACATACTCACTTTTTAGTAGTTCCATTTCCAATGCCCAAATCTGTCACAAAGTAGAAAAAGATACTATTGAAATTCTATCAATTTAAAAGAATTAAATAAGTATTTATTTATGAATATGACAGTTAATACTTAATACAAAAATTAAATAAGTATTTCTTTCTATTAATTGGTTCAATACTTACTGCCTACAAGATTGGCTAAAGATGAATCCAGATCATCTGACACTAATTTGTTAGGTGGTACTTTGGCAACTGGAAGACTCTGGTTTTGAGAGGCCACTGTTGGTTTTAGGAGACCACCTAGTTCATCAAAACCTTGCAAAGATAAACATAAAGGAAGTGATTTGAATCACAGACCTCCTATGACTGTCAGGACATTCAATTAAACAGACAGCAAGTTCAACACAATGGCTAAAATACAAAATTTAACCTAGTGATGCTACACTATACAAATAGTATGAAACTTATTATGCCTCTTGCTAAAGGAGATATTTACGACAAAAAGGAGATTTCACTTTATTACTTTAACCTACATGACCATCAATTTTACATGGAATGGATTCACAAAGACTGCAAAGCAATAAAAATGTAAAACAAAATAAAGAATAAATATCTGAAGTATTTCAATCTTATAAAAAAGCATATGTATTTGCTTTTACTGTATCACTGGTTTGCCCAGAAACAATCTAATGTCAAGACCAGAAAGTATTTACTTTCCAGATGCTCAAAAGAGTAGAAAGAATACTATGGCTACAAAAATTAACTGCATTAAGTTTTGATAATTTATCATTTTCTGAAATAATCTTAACATCAAGAGAGTAACATGTAGGGACAGAAGTGTCAAAAAATGTGCTGCACAGATATGTAAAACTTAGATGCAATTTTACCTCATCCAACCACGCTCTACAAATACAGATTTAATTTCAGTTGACAGCACATAAAACTGTTCACTGTGTTAATGCACAAAATATTTAAGTGAAGGAAATGAATGTAAATATTTCAGCAGAGTGCACGTAGAAGTAGTGTGTAAGGAACAATTATTTGATTAATAAAGAAAAACTGGATGACAAATGCTGCTATTGGCTTTTTAAAGTCAGCTTTCTTTTCTTCAGCTGGAACACTGTCACAGCTGTAGGAGCAAATACAGATTAAGAGATTTATATCTCAAGAATAAAAAAAGTTAAAGGACATATGTCATCTATTTTAGTAAGGGTCTTACCACCAGAATCTAGGACAACATTAGAAGATTTGTTTCCAAACACAGACTCAAAGTCAACATTAAGGCCGGCTGATGGCTGTGGTTGAGCAACAGGAGATGGAGTGAACCCTGTGGGGAAAAAGAAAGAAGTTGAATGTTTTTACACAGCATTTCCCATGAATCCATCTTGCTTATGCAAGACAAACCAAATAAATACGTAGATTATTTAAGTACTGCAGAAAGACTAGGAATACCTCAAAGGTCCAGATTACACCCTGACACCAAGAAGCATGTAAGAGAAAGAGCTGGAAGCAGTTTATTTGAAGTTTATTTGGAGATACTCCTCCAAAGAAAGATTTTAGCTCAAAAACTGGACAGACAGGCCATAAAAGACACTCCTCCTCTCCCCAGCTGCTAAATCTCTGGATTAACTATTCACATCTTCCTTATTTTTTTTTTACCAAATACTTAAAATAAAAGTATTGAGGAAATAATCACCATGCTTCCCCAACTGCCTGAGTAGAGAATTTGTTTCAAGATAACTTGCCTGAAAATTATTCCCCCCATGTTTTATGTTAGTTGAGTAGTTCTCTTAGATACAAGTGGAGTAAGATCCAAACCATTCCAAGGTGCCTGACTAGTAATGTCTTCAATTAGACACTCTTAATATTAATAATTTTTATAGTGCTTAGTTATTTTTGGACAGGCATTTTACAAGTGACCATGTTTTGCAATTAGGTTTCTAGTAATTATGGCAAGATACGGGTAGTTAAAGCCACGTTACAACTCCTATTCCTGTCCTATTACTTCATTTGTCTCCTTCTATGTATCTGTAGACCAACGTTCTCCAAATACACAATTTTTTTCAACACTGAAAATTTACTGCAGTGCAAAGCATTGTGTGTGACATACAGAAGTATTAAGTTGGTAATTCAGTAATACGGAAGTGAATAATGATTTGTTTCTAAAATTGTATTTTTAAATTATATCTATGATCATGCACACAAGTGTACAGCATCTTGATATTCAGGCAATTACTGAAGTAATTATCACTTTATATGAAAAGCACAAAAAAAAAATGCAATGCCATCTTGAAAACTAGTTCTTCTGGTTTCTAACAGAAATTTTGGTGATAGGGAGAAATAAAAGGATCACTTCAGCAGTAAAACATTGCAGTGAGTGAAAATAACTGACCAAGAATCTTTGTTGGATTCCATTTAGCATGTGGTGACAGAACCTCATTTCAATCTTACTGTTTTCCTGAAATAAGTCACATTTCACCTAGAAAATTAATAACTATAGGATGCTGTCCTTGACATAAACCACACAGAAATTTGGGTTACTTGTCTCAAAGGAAGATACAACTCAGCTCAAAAGCATCCATCACTAAGAATTTAAACATTGTACTTTTCAATAAAAACAAATCAAAGAAAGCAGCATACAGCAAAACAGGGGAAGCAGTAATGGGGGAAAAGAGAGGGAATAAATAAACAATAAACAACAAAACAAAATGAGTATCTTTATGACAAGTATACTGTCAAGGTGTAACAAGCCATTTCAGAGACTCTGAACTGCAGACAGGAATTCCTTTGATGGGATGTCCTGCAACTCTTAAAACCATGCCAGTATCAACAGAAAACTTGACTTACAATAACTCATATTTTTCTTTAGAAAATGGCCTTAACTGAAACAAGCTGAGTTTCTTGCTCTATCATCTTAGGAACTTTCAAGTTGTATGAAGCTAATGAGATGAGATAGGCCAGAAGGAAAAACAATACATAGGACTGCTCTGAATCAGCCTCTGAAAAAGATCAAATCCTACTCCTGGTACCAACCACCAGCCCAGGGCATTTTGTGTAACATGGATGTTCTGAAAGGTGCAAAGGTCAGTATTCTTAATGGAGTTCCTTTGAGGGAATAAACCTACAGGACTTGACAGAAACTAATCATCCTGCTTTCTGGATACAGAACAAAGGGAAGAGAGTCACAAGTAGTATTTAACCTTTTGTTAAATGAATCTAGCTGATTTCTGTTCAAAGACACTGAACCAAGAAGTGGCTTTAAGGTGTTTTAAAGAACTAACTCTTCCATAAACCATTTATCGAAGGTATTCCTAAACCTTGCAGAGCAACAATGTTAACACTCCCTGTTCAATCTGGTTTAGACAAGACTGTCATCTGTCACAATCCACAGCCCATCTAGTAACTGTCAGGATGGGGTTTCATAACCAGCATCACTACTGGGTCACCATACAAACCTTACACAGCTGCACACATGATGAGCCAGTAATTCCATGCAGCAAACACCTCTTTGTCATGTTCTGTTGCAAAGCTTTGTTCTAGTTTAACGCACTGTTTAAGAGTAAAAATGCCATAAGCAGCAAGAACATCCCAATCCCTTTATCTTAAAAGCAATGAGGTAGAGTAAGATGAGAAGCCACTTACAACATGCAAGTCTTTTGTGTGGTAGCAACACGTGAACTACAAGAGATCCTGAAATGGGGAGATACTCATTTCATGTTTAGAATAAATAAACCTTAGTTTAGCACAAACTGGAAAAAAAAAAAACAAAACATAATAATCTATCATTTGCGACAACACACCTAGCACAAGCACGTGAATAAAAGTTGGAGCCACCATCATAATGCACTTCTGTAGCCAATAATGTAACTACTCGTTCTAGGCACAAAACACATTCAGAGGTCTGTGTCTGTGGTAAGGCTGTATCCCGTTACCTACCTCCAAATAGACCAGCTACAGAAGAAGGCTCATTGCGGAAATGAGAAGCATTAGGGTAAGCTTGAGGACCACAAAAAGAATCTGATAAGGCATATCACACAAGAGAGAGAGCCAGGAAAGGAGAAGAGGGAGAGTTACAGAAAGAGAACCAAGAAATACTGTTTATCTGCTATTCAAAAATTTAATTTCAGGTCAGTCTATAAATCTACATATACTGTAATAACACAGAACAAATGGAATGAAATCAATACACATCAGACATACAGTAGGAAACAAGTTTACATTATCTATTAAACAAAAGGGGGAAGCATGGCTTCAAAGTTACAGCTATATTAGGATAAATTTTAGTTATTTATTTATTTTCTCCAAGCAAATGCCATGTTTTACACCCTTGGAAGAAATGGATGTAAAAGCTTCAAGGCATTTTTCTTATACCTGAAGTATAAGGATACAGCCCAATAGTGGATTCGTATTTGGTTGCCACAAAGGGATTTAGTTCAGTAAATGGACTGTAATGATCTAAAGAACCAGAAAGAGTTAGTTTAAATCCACATTCACATTATCATAGCACCTTGTTTGTGCTACAGCTAAAACTGCATTTACATTTCACATATCAATCTGTCAGGAGGTCACACTTTGGTTCCAGATACATCTTTAGAGAACAAGACTTCGGAAGGGAATACAATCTATCAGTATCATCCGTCTCCAGTGACTTCAGGGCTGTCATGTGATGAATACTACACAAACCAAAAAGTGCCACAAAAACCCACCAGGTTCTTTGTTCACAACCCTGCGCTGCCTCAACTTTTTGTAGGACTGCAGAACAAATTACCAACCTGATTGAATAACAACCCTACTAAACAAAAAAAATAAATAAACCCCCCCTCCAAAAACCTGTATTTCAAATGATCATTTGCCACTCACATGAACCATAAAAATCTTATTGGAATCATAGAATCACAGACTGGTTTGGGTTGGAAGGGACCTTAAAGATCATCTAGTTCCAACCCCCCTGCCATGAGCAGGGACACCTTCCACTAGACCAGGTTGCATGGGAAAGACTGATTTTTCGAAGCACAGGCCAGATTATTACACTGTAGTACCAGCTTGAAGTATCTGTATACTATTGCCTCAGCTAACTAATCCTCCCTGGGAATTGTGGAGAGAAGTTCACAGCAAGAGTTCCTGTGCCTGGTCTTGCTTATTTTCTCTCTCCACTAACCAAAGACAAGCTAGGAAACTAGATAGCCAAGGTGACAAATTGTAGGTGGTATGAATATTTCTCTAAAGAGACTCCTTTGATTTATCTTTGTTAACAAGTATCAGAGATAAAGGTCTCTCTGTTATAAGAGTCTGGATTCTTCTGTGATCAATTCTAGTGGAGTTAATCCTGCAAAAAGCAAGCCCTGTTGGGGCAGCATGACTATCTTTAAACCTCACTTTGCTCAACAACAGAACTGACATGTAATTAATTGATTTTCAGTCTATGAAAGCTAACTTAATTCTTCATATTGAAAAGTAATCAAATTACTATGTAGCTGCACCAACAGAAATGTCTGAAGGATTTCTAATATGACAGCCATGCTGAATTGCCTCCAAAAGAAGATTTCAACAGTTTTTTAAAAGGTGAGTCATTAGTTTATTGCCTAGTAGGTAAAAAGTTTGAGTAGACCATGCACCAGAATGTGCAAAACTTTACCAGTTTTGTTAATGCCAACACGACTGGGGGAAAAAAGAACTCAATACCAAAAAAATTAGATTAAGCTTTTAGGTTTAAAAATAACATTTCAACCTGAGGAACCAAGAAGTAATATTTTCTTTTCATTCTCAGGCATATGCGGTATTTCACCTTAAAATACCTAAGCATAAGAAACTTTGTGTAAAACCACACTCAAACAACTAACTCTAAGTTCCTTTACATTAGGTAGAATCCCATCTAGGTAGCCAAGCAAAGATCTTAACACCATTTTCATGGTATAATTACTAAATCAAGTTCAAACATAGCACAAAATCAGCCTCAAATGACCAGCTTTTAGTTTCTGAAAGGCCCCACAAATACACCTTAGAAACTGAGATATTAAAATTTTTAGGAAATAGGAAATGAGTTTAAAATGGTACTTTACCAACAAACATTTCATGTGTGGGTGTCCTACTGGTGAAAGCAGATACATCAGAAGACACAGACAGATGAGCAGCATCGTTAGTTTTTGTAAGGAAAGGATTTAGGTTTGGAATGGCATCATCAACACTATCAACAGTAGCAGAAAAAGGATCTGTTCAATTCCAGAGAGCAAGAGAAAGAAGAAAAGGGAGATGGATTTAGTTACATGCTACTTCCTAGGTATAGAAGAGTAAGAGTTAAGAAGAGTCCAGGAAGTGTACTTTCCTCCTGACATCTCTAAACTTGGGATTACCTAGCTGATTGTTTAATTTTCAAATTGTCTAGAATTATCAGTTCTCTGCTCAAGAAAAATACTACACATATTAGCTATATGATTGCTTGGTTTTTGTTGTTTTTTAAATTACTATCATCTTGGTCTTATAAAGTATGCTTCTTCCACAGTGTGTTTTATACTGAAAATTAATATGTTATTCTTCTTTGAACATGATCACTTTTTGCTTCACTCAGTCACATCCTGACACTTACAACAAATTCTCTGGAGCAGAGACTGTCTCTCAGCGTAACAGAGCCCTGGTGCTAAGTGAGGATTCAATGCAATACCATCCTGAGGATAGCTTTAAAAACCTGAACAAACAAAACCAATGGAGCTGCACTGTTCCTTCTTCCTCAGATTGTGTTTATGGATTTTTTTTGTTACTGGGCATCATGAAATTTTCAAGAGCTATAAATACACCAAGGTAGCACGCAGGACAAAAGCACTTCCCTCACTACCAAGAGCAACAAGCTTGTCGTGGATATGCTATTAGCTCCAAGGAAGCAAAAACCTGCTCTACTTTGAGGGACAACAGCCAGTGAGCAGTGACAAGGAAAATGCTCCTTATTATAAAAACCTGTTGGACTGTACTGAGGAATACAGTAAAAATAAAATATTTTTATTCCTTAAAAACAAAGGAATAAAGGATCTATGTGAGGCACTTCCCAAGGCATATAGGAGAGTTTCGAGGTTTCCTGAGGATGGACACAACTACCAAGCTAAAATACTCCTGTACTCCAGGATCCAATAGATAAACAGGATAGGAAAGGCAGCTACAATATTTGCTGACAGGAGGAGCTGTGGTTTAGCTGTCTGGCTTCAAAGCACATAAATCCTTGATGGAAAACTCAAGAACTCACTAGAGAGATCGGCAAGAGTTGCACTGAGCCCTATTGTTTTATCACAGTGCTTAGAACTGCAACTTACTCTTCTAGGCAAAACTACTACAGAGAAATGTCTGGATAATCATTATAGGAGAGACTCCTTGAATACTTCAGTTTCTGGTCTTTTTCATTTTTTTTTCCCCTCAAACCTGGTTAGATTACAGATTTATCCACAACTCTTGTAAATACTACCATGATGTATGCAGCAGCTTCAAAGTATAACTTATTTTCTCTCCCTGAATCTGACCTCTTAGATTCTTAACTATAAATCCCACACAGCTTGATAACACCTAGATTTTGGTCACATGCAAGTCCTAAAGAAAATGAAATTTTAAAACCATAACTGTATTATTCTTTACAGGCTCAATACATGCTTTGATTTCCTGAAAGCTCAAAGTATCTTATTCAGCAAGACCTGACTTCTCTCCCAGACTGCTTGGCTACATTGCAAGAATGAACAAAGTACATTAAAAAGCTTTTTTCTAAATCATTCAGTCACCAAAATGACAGTGTCAAACACTGAATAAAGGATAAGAAGAATAAGCTAATATGATATTTGTAATATATAAGAGCAAAACAAAACTTTTTATTCTTATGTACATCTTAGATAGTAACATTACCACCTAATGCACATGTGGCCTTGCCAATCAGCCAGTCACCTGAAACCAAGTCCTTGCTTTCATGTACTGCTTAAAACTCTTCTCTGCTCTGAATGCTATTCTAGAAGCTGTAGAACAAACATCTGACAATAAAACAGGTCAGATTATCATTTAAGCAGCTCCTGCTTGCTTTTTCTGTTGCTGCTTCACATTCTTCTGAGTCTATTGGTTCTCCTTGTAATTGGAAAAAAAACCCCAAACAGATAGGGCAAACTGATTATTTCCACACTGATACATCTGGTTTGCTACTGAAGTTTAAATACAAATTGATAGCTGGCAAATACAGCAGACAGCTGGAATGGTCTTTGAACAATGCCAATAAACAGCTCAGATAAAACAATATGAAAGAATCTAAAAAGGACAAACAATTTTTAACCATATTTGTTTGGAACTTGTCCACTGGAACTATTTTACACACGTACTCAACAGGTAAGTTACTACATACCACTTTCTGTTCCCAAATCCTAAGGCTGTATGTGGAGTTTCATGTGTTCTGACTAGTAAGACAATGCAAAACAACTTTAGATTATTGAGATTTTCTCAGAAGTGTAATCTATTCTCAGACCCTTCGCTCATCTGCCTCATTCTAATTCTAGCCGGTGTGTTCAGTCTTGTCCGAGTCTCAGAACTTGCCAATGCTAGAGACAAAGGTAACTGAAAATTAATTGGGTTTTTGCCATTTGTATCCTTGTATATTCAGGTTTTAAAAACTGCTGTCTCTCCTGACAGCAACACCTCAGTGTTTCTAAAGCCCAGTTTCATCCTCGAATACAGATGGCATCTGTTTGTGTCAATGCAATCACTCTGTACCTTCAGGCTATCGTTAGGTATTAATGATTCAAGTGCATTTAAGAGAGTAATCTGAATTTTGCAAACTTCTACCTTTAAATTATCCAACTAGAAGTATTCTACCTGAGAGAACAACGACACAGTGGCATCTTTTACAGTTTGAAAAAAGTAAACTGAAAATATATAATTATAGAACCTATTCCCCAGGAATTTTTAACCTCATTAGCTTTAACATTTTTGGAAGCACAAGACAAAAGGCAGCAACACAAATATAATGCCTTGTAACAACTGATCCTTTTATTGCACACCTAAGCTGCTGCACCAAATTTTTAACAGTAATTGATTTTAGTCCATTGCAACTTGTAGCTGGTTCGATACTCTTCTCCAAGTCACCATAAACACCAAATACAAACATCAGCACATCAGAAAATTACCTAAGGGAGGGATGCTGTGCAGTGGTTAGAGCACAGGACTGGAAATAGTTCAGGTTCCATTCTTGGCTCTGCCACTGACTTGCCGTATGACTTCAGTTAAGTCAGTTAATTGCTCAGATTTCCCCATCTGTAAAATGTGGAAAGCATTTCTTATCTACCTCACCTATGTGAAGTGAGTGCTCATGTCTGTAAAGCTAAAGAGTTTTTAAATAAAAAGTAACAAAAAATGGTGATCCCAGCAGTCTAGCCTAAAACTTCAGCAGACAATCTGAAATTTTCACAGTTAATTAAATCTTAGAAGTATTTAGAAATGTGTCAATTGTAAGCAGGTATATCAATGACTATTACTGAAGACTCTAACCAGGAGTAACACAACATTGAACAAACACAGACTTTCAGGCTCAATTTTCAGGTTAATAAAGAAATGCTACACTGTGATGTGACCTTCAAGAGGAAGATAATTTCCCCTTTTTTCTCTCATCCATGAAACAAATAGGACAAGCTGAAACAGAAGCTATTTTCCAGAAAGCAAACAAGATGAGCCAAAACATTTTTCTCCATTTCTAAATTCTAAGCCTATTAAGCTCTGAAATTTGTATGCATAACTCGATACGCTCCTCACCGCATCCTTCTCAAAAGATGCTCTGCTCAGCAAAACTAAAGGACAAGTAAACTACTTTTATTTATTTATGAAGCTACCACATATATTAGCAATGCCTCTGTCACTCAAAATTGTGTGTTATTTCCCTATAAACAAATGTGAGAAGGTACACAAAATGCAAAGCACACAGCAAAGAGTAAATTGGAAAGCAGAATACATACACTGCTTATTATAAAGATATGTTAGATAACTAGAAAGATGTTTAGGAAAAACCCTAACTCATAAGAAGTAGTAAAGTAAAATTTCAGAACAGGATTATTCTGATGCCTACAAAACTTTCTGAAGCAGCAACTCCAAATTTTTCACTTCATAAACCAAAGCATTTTTACAAGCATCTGATTTATTAAAAAAAAAAAATTAATCTGGAAAGAACCACATAGTTCAGGAATGTACTATTTCATTAAGTGTCATTTAGGTAGAAAAGTAAAAAGAAACATCTTTATAAATAGAGATTTTTCATCTTCCACCAGTATAACCAACGGTGCAAGCAGGCAATATGTTACCTATATCAGAAATATTCTTGAACACTGCAAAGCAGCAAAGAGAAAACCAGCTTTGAGTAAATGAAGAAATGCTCTAACGCTCAAAGTAATCTTGATGTAACATTCATGACTTCCTACAACGCTCTTGCTTGCCTCCCTGGTTTAAGGACCTGCCTGTATCAGTAAGATAATCTAACATGTCATTCAGTCCATCCTAGCAACTGAGCAGAACAACAATGTCAGTGTTCTGAGGTTAATTCCACAGGGAAGAGTTCCTTATAAACATTGTCTCTTAAAGAGATCCAAGCACAGCTTTTTGCTAATTTGCCTTTGCAGTTTCATGAAACACATCAGACAATTTGTAAAGAGCTGCCTTATTTTGTTTGCAAGAACAACTCTGGATTTTCTTGTTTTCTATGTGTAGTTGTCACAACAGCCTCCTTTCAGGCCTCACCCAAGTTCCGCCCTATTATCACGTGCAAATTTGATTTAACATTGGACAAAACATAAAATGCATATCAAAAAAATTCTGTATTCAAGTTCCCGTGTATGCAACGTGGGCTATCTGGCAGACATCTTCACAGAACTGACTTCTCACAACTCAGTTTCTCTAGCTTGCTATGTGACTCTTGAAGACAGCAGCTATGAGACTGACAGAGCTGATCAACAATTGAAGTAACTTTGCTACTAAGAACTCTCATATCAAAATTCTTTGCAATCACCACACACTGCTACATTATTTTAATCCATACTCAGATTTTGCTTTTTCCACTCCCTTCATCCACTTGGAGCTTGTTTTTGCAAGATCTCTGTTTTGGAGGAAGAAACAGCCCACAGACTAGGGGGGACATTTACAGGAACATGGCCATAGCAATAAGAACCTTAACCCTATTCAGAGTTCTTACCTCCCCAGGTACTTCCTACTTGTGGAGCAGCAGCTATAGGATGTACAGACGGATGAAACGTTGGCTGCAAATCGAGCAGATCATTTGGCAGCTTTGAAGTGCTACAAAAACAAATTAATACAACTGTTGGAACCACATCATATTTTCAATACAAGGCAAATGCTAGTGACTGTCAACAGTAAGGAAAGCTTTGTTACAAACTGGTTGTTACAAAACGGACAGAACTAAGCCAAAACCAGAAAGTCTGGTGAACTTCACATTTTCAGTTCTGTAGAAAAGTGTTAACAAGCTAAGTTCTGTGTTATGTCAACTGACTTTTGTCAAAGATGTCTGAGACAGAAAGACAACCAGTCTTCTCACCTTCCTCACAGTCCAGCACCAGGGCTACAGCATTTTATGTTCAGCAATCTTTGGCAACTTTTAAAATAACCTCATGAAAGCCCTACAGTATGACCAAAGCAGACTGACAGAATGAACTCTAATGGGTTGCACCACCAAAATGTTACATCCAAATTCCACAACTCGTATCTTTCCACTGTCAACCACTGCTGAGAAACTGGCTTACGTCTATGAGCTACTCAAGAACCTTGGGGAAAGCCTTGAAACACTGTCACAAAACAGTGTGTGAATGAAAAACTTATTTAAGTGCACATTTTAGACTGTTCAAAACCAAACTGAGACCTAAGAACATCACATGGAAATGAAGAGTGAAATTTTAAATACAACCGCTGCAATAACTTCAAGAGTCAAACAGGAACAGTAAAATCTATCCTCTTGCAGAGAGTTTGTTTCATACTTTAAATTAATCCTGGGGGAAAAAAAAGGGAGTACTGGTGTTCACCCACAACTTTAAGCACACAAAATGAACCAAAATTTGCACGTACAACTACTACTATCAACAGAAGCCAAGTCACCCTAACATCCAAGCATCTCAAAACAAGACTGGCACAAGAGTTTAAAGACTAGTAGCCACATCCTAGACCTCTGTATATTCTCTTGCTGACCCAACCACTTGTATCATTCAGTTTTTACTATTTCATTTCAGTAGCGATTGAAATCACATTTTGCCACTACTGCTCCTATTAAAAAGCAACATGGTCTGGCACAGCCTTGTAATGTGAACCAAGATAATTTTCAAGGTAAAGCTTGTTCAAGTTAATGACAGGGATTAATCAGGCACACTGCACCTAACAGCAAGCGACTGAACTTATGACCCAACATATCCTCTTCATGGCAGCTCCTGTTGTAAAACCTGTTTTTGCTCATAGCAGTCATACTGCCAGCAACTGAACTGAAACATGAAGACAAACTACCATTTGGTTGTTTGGGTTTTTTTTAGAAGAGAATGTTCTTGTCTTCACTATCTAACATTTCTGGCTGTTTGAAGAAGCTTTATCAGACGTTTCTATGTTTCAGACCTCTGAAGGAGCACGATCAGATATTCAAAGTTACTAGTTCAAAGCACAAGTCCATTTCAAATATTTTGGCCTCTAAAAGGCAATTTAAAACACAATCTTTTTTCAAGGAAGTCTTTTAGTTATTAACACTGACAGATACTCTAGCTCCTTACATGTAATTCAGCTATCTTCCACATATTTGGTGTCAAGTAATTTCCTACAATAGCTTTCAAATGGGGAAAGAAGGCTGTCAAAGTGCTGACTACTTTTAAAGAACAGCAAAAAGCTAAAGGAGACAAGCAGATTCTCATGCGAGTTTTAACAGAACAATCTTTCAGGTTTGGGACCACACCCAAAGCAAAAATATGCCTTCAGACAGCTCGTTCCTTCTGTATTGGTAAAAGCCTTGTACTTTCTGCTACTGCTTGGACAGGTATTCCACAGAATGAAGATCACACACTTAATCATACCAACAGTTCCTGCGAGTCAGAGATCAGGATGAGCATGCAGTGAGTACTCCTGCTCTATCTTTGCAAGTACTTGCAGACAGAGATGTTCCAGATACAACTCAAGACTGCAAAACCTGCCTCTCTTCTTTCAAACTCTGTTTCAGGCTTTCCTTTTTGTGAAAAATCTACCAACAACATTTGTTACCACTCTACTTTTCAAGATCTAGAAATGCAACATTAAATTCAGTATTATCTTTATGACCTTCCAAACTGAATTATTATTTTACTTTTCCCAAATTAAACTGTAAGGTTCTTTGAGGACAAAGCACGTGTGTTTTACAGTTCCAACCGCCTGGCTCACCGACTAAGAACCAGCAGTTGGTTCTTATCAGAAACTATTCTGCAAATGGATAATGAAAACAAACTTTTTACAATTTTTTATGGTAACAGGTTATCAACTTACCCAAAATAACATTTCTTATTGCATTACTAATGCACTCTACACTCAACCAACCTTCTGCAATGTATACTCTGCAGCAGAAATTTAGAGGAAACCCTAGCTGCAGTGCATCTCATGGCAAAGCAACGTCATTAAGCATACCTGTTTGAAGAGCTAGGGGTAGAAAAAATATCAATGGCTGGTGTAGTCATTATGCTTCCTGCTGCAGTGGACACAGGAGAAGCTGCAGTTGTCAAAGAGGTATGAGGTTTCTTTGCAAGTTCTTTTAGACGTTGCTCCTGTTGGGAAAGTGAGCTGGCATAAGAAATCCAGAAACACCATTTGTGTATATGACTTTGGAAGTAAGTAAAGCAGAACTTTAAAAGAATTCTTTTTATTTGTTCCACACACTGGTGTCAGCTACTTATAATGACAAGAGTTAGTAGTGCCACAAATCCTTCAGAAACTATTTTAACAAACTCTCCACAAATTTTATGGTATATGTACATAAGATTCTACTTCCAGTGCTTTATTAACAGTACATGTTCAGTATTAATAACTGTTTTCTCCCTTTGCTCCTTTAAGAATACTAATAAGCTACCAACAAGAACCCAGGAAAAATGTTTTCAATAAAAAATTCTATATGCCTACCTTTAAAGCTTTTAAGCGAGCCTGTTCTTCCTCCAACGCAGCTTGTTTTTCCCTTTCATCAACTTTTGTGAGGGACAGGCCAGTGCTTGCAAGGGAAGAGACCGCATTGGAAAGGGTGGTAGCCCTAAAGTAATTGGAGAGGAGAAAAGCTGGCTGTTAATAGGTGACACGTGATAGGAACATCTAAAAAACACTTTGTTGTATCCACCCAGCCTCCTTCTGAACTCTTTATAACAGTGGTTCTGTCTTACACTGTACAATACAAAGTGGTATGTTTAAAGAAGAGACACTGTGTGAACTGCAAAATGAAAAAGCCTAGAAATCATGCTATCTACTCTTACACACTGGATTTTAGATCTTCCCCTTAAGTGTTTCCCCTCCAAACTGCATCACAGAACTCATGTTTGAAGCCTTTTAGCTCTTTTCCTGTTTGCCTAAAAAGGTATTATTTGTAGATACACAGGAATGTCCGATAATCTGGGCTCCAAGTCAAACTACTGCTAATTTAACAGGTTTAGTTAAGAAACTATTAATGCAACTGGTACAGCCCAGAGGAAAAGTTTGTGATTTATCATCATGTTTAAGAGTGTACAAAAGGATTTAAAACAAGTACTTAACTTTTAAAACAAACTGAAGTAATCTTATAAAAGAAAGCAAATATTCTAAAAAGTAGCTAACAACATGGTGCTAAGCCCTAATGTTGTCATCACCATAAAAAAGAACATATAAAATATTACTGCCTTATTTTTCAAACATGCAATAGAGAAATGTTATATAGCTTTGCAATATTAAGCTTTTTAAAATTTAAATAATGAAGCTAGTTGCCTAGAGGACTTCTCTAGATTGCACTTTGTGTTTTAGTAAGCACTCAAAATCAGTGACTGCCTTTCACCATACACAGCGTGGCTTTAATCCTCAGTTACTTTAAAAATCCATTCTTAAATTAAGAACTTCTGGAAGCATTTGCTTACTTTCAACAAAAAAAAAAAAAAAAATAGAGTTGAGATATAAGAGTCCAAGAAAATTAATAAATACAAGTCACATACTTAGAGAGGTCTAATTATTAATGTAAAATGAACACCTGGAGGCAGTAAGTGAAAAAATTTTAGTTTCTCTTCAGAAGTTCAAGATTAGATGTTAAAAGTATAACTATTACACAAGGGATTCTACAGCAAGTGCTTGCAGCTCCTTAGATTGCAGTTCTGTTGACCTGAAAGCTTTCTTAAGTTACTCAGTAAAAGATATGTCAGTTTGCTATTCTATCATTGCTGATGTAATACAGTCTTGTCTTCAACACAGCCCACACAAACCTTAGTTTATAATGAAACCAAAAAGAATGGATTTAACCTCTGATTCAACAATTGTTTAAAAGGACAAGGGCATAAGTACCTGCTTGCAGCTGTGGAATCTTTGATTTTCTTCCCTTCTAGAGAAGCTAAATGTTGTTCCAAAGCATCAAGAAGGCTACTCGGTGCCTACAAAAAGAGACATCAGAGAACAGATCTGAAGAATCTCAGACAAAGCAAATCAGTAGTTAAAAGACTTTCAGAGAATGCAACGTAGGGCAACTGGCACAACAGCTCAGAATCCTTAGACCGCATCTTGGCATCCTGGACATATTTAATTACTTAAAATATCAGGTGATGTACTCTCCTCACTACATTAATCTGTCATAATGACTCACCAGTAAGTATTGAAATATGTCAAGAGATGTTAAAATTAACAGCTAGGAAACGGCAAGCAGACAGTTGGAAGCAGTCATTACTTCAGAAGACACTAAGAAGGAAATTGTACCTGAAGTCATTTCTATGTGCAAGCTCTGCAAGCCTTCACAATGATTTAAATAGGCATACAGCCAAAAGCAAGCTTGCCAAAAACCACAGCTTCATAATATCATGTAAAAATTGTTATGTGGACTCACAGACACAAATTGTGTCTTCAAGCACGACAAAAATCAGGTTGTTTTAAAAACTCAATTAGAGTATGACAGAAACAAATCTATAACATTTTACAATAGCATCACTGCATATAAATGCCAGGTTCTGACAGAGGATGGATTTAATCACAAACTTGGAAATAACCTGGTGATAATGCACACAAAGCAGAAGTGAAAGCCATATTAATGCCAAGTTTTTCTGATTATTCAACCCCAAAACAGACTTGTACTGGCAAACACATAATAGGTTTATCTACCTGTGAGAGATCTGGTATGTCTCCTCTGTCAATTCCAACTTGCTGTAATAAAACAAATGAGCTTTAGAACCTGTTTGCATTTGTTAAAGGCAGAGATGTTCAAAAAGCTAAAAACATTAAGATGAAGTCATGTAAAAAACACAAACTTGTCCATACACATTTTAAATCTCCACAATCTGAACTCTATAATGGTTAGTTATAATAAATTATTCTATTAAATATATATACATTTAAAGTAGGCGTGTTACAAAGATATTTAAACAGATACAACCTTAGAAATAAAACAGAGTAAGAACTAAGTGTTACAGAATTTTAAGGCTAGAGAAGTTTGCCTGTCCCACACTTTATGTGGCAAATTCTCAGACCTCCCGATACAGAGTGTATCTTTATTAAAACAAAGCACCTTCAAAGTTTTGTAAACAAGTGATTTTCCAAAATGCTGACCAAACTTAGGATGTTCTGCAGCAGGATATACATTATTTCAACAAAAAGATTAATACTCTCAACTTCAGTTGATAGTGTTTAACTGAAGATAACTGAAGGCAGAATCTCTGATACAAGATATTCCGCCAGGACAGTGAGACAAAAATTACAGCTTAATTTTTTAAGAGAGATATGAATAATGAAAGAAAGCACAGTGAGACAAAAATTACAGCTTAATTTTTTGTTGAGAGAGATATGAATAATGAAAGAAAGCAAAATAACAAGAGCACATCTCAGCTGAGGAATTCCATAATACTATGACATCAGTTCAGCAATGCTTCAAAAACAAGAATGCAACAGACTAAATACATTTAAAAAAACCCATAAACAAAACATTTTGCAAGGTAACTGCTTTTTCCTCTAGAAACACACCTATAGCCAAGACATCTTTAAAAATAAATTTTTAAAAAAATCACATGTGCATCTACCAGTCAATTCCTTATTTTTGAAGCTGCTCTTTCATCTAAAACTTATGGCAGAATTGTGGGTTTCAAACTAGAATATAGCTGGAATCACAGAAAACAGCAGGTCATCATTAAGTTACTTTATTGATTTAAAGAAAGGCTCTTCTTCACAGAAAGCTCACAATTATTATCTAACCAAGGAAATGCTAAAATGCATATTTATACACCCTCCTTAAATAAAAGATTAACCTCTAAGTATTTCATAGTCAGGTTTTTCAATACAGTCCTCAAACGAACTAATCACTAGGGTAGAGACTGATAGGGTGAACCTTGAAGGAATCACAATTAGGCTGGAAAGAAGGGGCTGCTTTATGAGAAAATAAGCAGTTTCAAAGACAGGACAAAGTTTGGCTGACTGAAGTTTACCTCTGCAACTTTAAGGAACTCTGAGATCCGTGTCATTCTAGTGAGGAACTTCTTATATATATCAAGGCCTTCTTTGCACTGGTTCTTTTTCATATCGAAATATTTTTCTACAAACAGTAAGAATACTTGCATTAAATAAGAAATCAAGCATTCTGCAAAGGATATGCCAAGTAAAAGTGTATAAAACAAGACAGAAAATGCCTGTGCATCTGTTTTATCATGTTAACTGCACGAGTCACTGTGCCTAACTTGCATCAAATGACAAAATCTCTGTTGAACGTGAGCTAATGATCACATGCAAGCAGTTACCTGTTACCTTGCAGGTACTAGAGCTCACAAGAGCATAAGCACCCTGAAGAGGACAATTAGGTTTAAGTCACCCAAAGAAATGTAAATTCATCTTCCGGGGGGGGGAAAAACCACCCCAATTTTATAATCTGTCAGTCAAACATCCAGTCTATTCCAGTAGCCAGTATCAGGCAAGATTTTGGTGTTTTCTGCCAGTCTGCTGCTTCTTGTTACGGTGTGGTCTACAATGAGGTGTAACTGATTACAAAACACTGGTGCTGAAAGCGAGAGGGTCCCACCCTCCTTCTTGAAACACCACTTTCAAAGCCTGTTTCTATATTAAACTTCACTCAAAAAAGTGAGTGAAAGCAACTGTATGCTGACTCTTCTTACTGAGGGAAAAGAAGCAGAGGCTTCAGACTGGAAGCACAACTGTCCTTCACTGCCTAATTCTGGATTTTGCATTCCATTTTGCAAGGACGAGGTAATAACAGCAATCAGGTAGCTTGATCCAGTCACAGAATACAACCAAACCAAGCAAATCAACAGATTATTTACAACTTAATTATTTTCCAAATTTAGGCTCCCTTGCATCCCCAATGTGTGCAAGTGAAAGGGCCTGAAGTCTGAATTTGTAATGCCCCTTAAAATACACTCTAGAAGTCAACCAACCATTAAAACCAACTAACACTAAAGTTTTGATCGCCAATCACAGACGTTGTGACAGCAAATTTGTAACCAACTATAACTTATTCCACTTAAAAAGAAACAAAACTTGATCTTGTTTTCTTAAAGCAAAACTCATCAATATTGTGATGTGGGTTTGCCATGCAGTTCACTAAGACAAAAAAAACCCCCAAAAACCAAAAAAAAAAGCAGTGCAAGAAAGAAAACATTAGGTGAAGAAAATCTTGACTTGGCTTTCTTTTCAAAAATTTACCCATACTATGCATTGAAAAATGCAATTGGACAGAAAAACCTTGGAAATAAATCTGACTTGGCAATAACAGTAGTATTTTGATGTTTTACAGTAAAAATATTTCAATTTCTCAGAAAAGAGCAGCTCTTTGCAATTTTTTACTGAGTTCCCTCCTAGAAGATGACCATTGCAGAAAGCAGTTACATTTACCCAAGAGGTTAATAATCCCTTCGTTATATGCCGCGAACAGTCTAATGGCATCTTTGAAGAGGAGCATGAAGGCAGCATTAATTACACCATTTGTAAGTTCATTGCTATTGACCTAGGAAGATCAGAAAAAAGAAGTTAATTTAACTGAATTGATCCCTTATTGGAAAACTTCTAGTTGAACTGTCCCAAGGCGTGCTCTCCAGCCATCTCACTGGCTATTAATGGAAAGCAGCAACACAGCAAATCAACACAGGATCACTCAGCACAGAATTAAATCAAACCATTTTGGCAGACATTTCTGTTAACTCATGTTAAAACTAACATAACTAAGAGACAGAGGGTAGAAATAATCAACTTGTAAATGAATAAACAATTCTTACACAATGTAGGCAATAAACAACACTCATGTAGCACAAAACATTCTCTCCAGCTTGTATCCAGCTTCTTTTTTTCTGGTTTCTTGGGGGTATATCAATGAACAAAATGATTTGTACTCTTCAAGCTGTGCAGATAGCATGGACACAAAAGGATAAAAATAAAACCAAGTTCAAGACATTTAGTCTTGACCTATTTTACAAGCTTAGAATCACAGAATCATTTTGGTTGGAAAAGATCTTTAAGATCATAGATTCCAGTTGTAAACGTAACACTGATGAGCGCACCACTAAACCTCAGAATCTCAGAACCATAGAACACTGTGAGCGGGAGGGACCCACAAGGATCATGGAGTCCAACTCCTGTCCCTGCACAGGACAATCCCAACATTCACACCATGTCCCTGAGGGCCTTGGCCAAATACTTCTGGAATACTGTCAGTCTTGGTGCCATGACTACTTCCCTGGGGAGCCTGTTCCAGTGCTCCACCACCCTTTAGGTGAAAAACCTTTCCCTCATAGCCAACCTAAACTTGCTCTGGAACATCTTCCTGCCATTTCCTCTGCTCCTGGCATTGGTCACCAGAGAGAAGAAATCAGGACGTGCCCCTCCTTTTCCCCCTGTGAGGAAGTTGACCACGATGAGATCTCCTCTCAGTCTCCTCTTCTCCAGGCTGAATAAACCAAGGGACTTCAGCCTCTCCTCATACACCTTCCCCTCTAAACCCTTCATCAATTAAGTGGCCTCCTCTGGACACTCTCCAGTAGCTTTAGATCCTTTTTTATACTGTGGTGCCCAAAACTGCTCCCAGTACTTGAGGTGAGGACTCATGTCCCTAAGCACCACATCTACCCATCTTTAAACACCTCCAGGGATTGTGACTCAACCACTTACTTGGGTAGCATGTTCCAAAGCTTGAAAACCTTTTTGGTGAAGAAACCATTCCTAATATCCAATCCAAACCTCCCCTGGTGCAACTTGAGGCCTTTTCCTCTTGTCCTGTCACTTGTTCCTTGGTTGAACAGACCAACCCCCACCTCTCTACACCCTCCTTTCAGGGAGTTGGACAGAGCCAGAAGGTCTCTCCTCAGCCTCCTCTTCTCCAGGCTCAACAACCCCAGTTCCCTCAGCCGGGAACTCACCACACTTGTGCTCCAGACCCTTCCCCAGCTC